AATCTTTAACTTGTTAATTGTAGGTTTTCAATTGTACTTTTTTGTAAAATGGGTTAGCTCGTAAATAAATAACTAAATAACAACTCCCTATACTAAAACAATTGTTGATTGAAGGTGATTACTTGGCAATATCGCACTTAACGAAACCCTTAACGATAACTTTTCAACGAAATCGAAATTCCAATATTCCACTTATCAATTTTGCTGAGGTGTACAAAAAAAAATTAAATATTTATTTAAACACATAAGTAATTACGTAAAAATTAAATCTAAGACCGATACAATTAATAAATTATCATGTGTCTTTTAACAGGTATCTTATAGTTGTCTAACAAAATAAAGTAAAATTTTATTGTTATTATAGTGTACCTAATACAGTACCCCAAAACCAAAAAACTTATTTTTTCATTAGAGTAAACAATCTGAAATTTTAACATACGATCTCGTCATTACACATCATTCTCTATTTATAGAATTGCTGTGTACTGTAAACGTTACATTTGTTGTTGAAACTTAATTTGAAAGTTTCCTTGTGTTTATATTTCTATATAAATATAAAAACATATTATGAAGTTCATATAAATTAAAATGAACTAAGCTAAACTATTATCATGTGAATGCGTGTATGTAGTAGTGCATTTGTTTATTTCAGTAAATTCTTGAAATATGAAATGAAGATGGCCCAAGTACTAAAGAGTTAACAGCTTTGTTAGAAGAAGACTTAGTTTGTGAAAATGCTGACTCACTTAATGTGGTTTATTTGCCGCCGAGATTAGAAAGTTTCTGATATAGAAGGCATTGATGATAATATTATTTGTGAAGAATCAATAAAATCGGATATTGCAGGTACATATGAAAAACAAGTGATTGGGAATTCTGACGATTCTGATTATAATATTCCTCTGAACCACAGATAAAACGTCCAAAGAAAAACCAGGCAAAAATAGTAAATCCAAATTTGTCTCAAGTTGGTTAACAACAGATACTCCTTCGTGCTCAGTAGTAATTCTACATCAGTCTGATTGACATTTAGACAATATAAAAGCCAACCAAGGAGGCAAGTCATATATTGAAGTTTTTTCACTCTTTTTTGATAAAAAAGTAATTGAAAGCATTCTATATTTTACAAATATTTATGCATCGCGGAATAACCGTCATGATTTTGAAATTAATAACATAGATTTAAAAAAAATATTAGCATAATATGTATATTATCTGGTTCACACTCTGCTTCAAGTTAATATGCATTGGTCAAAGGATGAGGATAAAGAAGTGCACATTATAAGAGAAAGCATGAGCCGACATAGATTTATATTTATAATTTATACTAGTGAAGACGCCGCTACATCAGTGTCAAACTTAGTACATGGACGTCAATCTAAATTTGCTTTACCAGATAAAATCAGATTCGACAATATTGGCCACATTACAAAAATAGACGATAGTGCAAAAATGTAGGATGTGCAAAAGTAATACTATTTATTTATGTAAAAGGTGTAGAATGTACTTAAAATTCAATTTACATTTAACATACAATATGTTCCTTTATTAAAAATTGTACTATTTTCCTTGAAAATAAGAAGAAAAAAATCGTTTTATTTGTAAATTAGTTTTAATTTATGTATTTTTAAGACAATCTAATAAATTAATTGTCAAATTTCTCTTTGTATATTGAGCGGCCGTTAAGGGGACAGTCTCATGCGATTTAAAAAAAAGACGCATTTTAAAATTAAAGCAGAAAAAAAAACTATAATATTTATTAACATAATTCCTTTTGGAGATGATTAAGTAAGTCTTGAAGTACATAATAGAAATTTTTAATAGCGATTTTAACTTCATTGGTGTCCTGTAGATGGCGTGTAGTAAAAAGTGCGTTTTTGGTGGTAAGACACTTTGTGGGTCACCTGTAACAGATATTCAAAAAATTCAAAATGGGTTGTATTCGTAAGACTCAATACTAGATGATAAACCTTTAAAATATGCAAATTGTATTATTTTGAAGAGTTTATACGAATTTTTTCAAAAAAGTCGAAAAATCACTATATTTTTCGGTGTATTTACCCATATATAATAAAAGGGGGGGTGGTTTTTAAATATTTTAAAGGTTTGTCATCTAGTATTTTGTATATATATTCGAAAAATTTTTGGTTTTTTAAAATCGGTCAAGAAGGTTCGGAGAAAAATGTCTGACCAGTTTGAAAATGTTACTTTTGAGAAAAAAGCATTTAAAGTTTTTTTTACATAATTTTTGTGAATAAAAGGCTGATAACTTTATACTCACGTTTAATCGGCCATTTCTGGTGAATATTGAGGACCGTCTTCATCCAACAGTTGTTGTAAATGGCTTTGTAATGCTGTAAATTTTAATACAACGTCGCGATGTTTTATAATTAATTCATTTGTTTGACTGGAGTCTCACTCTCAATTCACGATGCTGCCAGTGTAAATGTAAAAACGGAACACACCTAGATCGCATGTCAATTCAGCGAAAACATACTTATTTATAAATGTAGATATGAAAATATTTTAACTAAAAAAGGGTTGTTTTATTGCCAAAACGGCTTGAAAAAAAGTTAATTTCTAAAATTAAAAATAAATAGGAATTTTAAAAATAAAATAATTATATTACACTCTTTTTAATTTGAAATTATAAACAATATTTGGATTAATAAATGTATTTAAGTATAAATTTTATAACTCAAATAATACCTAATGAACACAAACAAAATTGATGTTAATAAAACATTATTTATTATCTGCAAAAAACCGGACTTTCAGGAAAAATCGGTAGACGGAGCAACACTGTCGGCGTGCCATATACGCTACTATATAAACCGCTGAGGAGAAGTGGAACTATAAATCCAGTGGAACAAATAAATTGTTATAAAACATCGCGACGTTATATAGAAACACGGGTTAATTGCAACGCAGAGAATCTTAGTATTTGTAAAAAATCCTATGTCCTGGATTTAAAATTCCAAATGTGTATAGTAACTGCCAAACGTTATAATGATATACATACTATATAAAAATGAATCACTAATACATACCCAACATATATATAACATATATACAAAAGCAAGAAGAGCTGGAGCCTCGCGCTCGCCGCGCGGAGAGAAACCGGTTTTCATACGTGCGTAGATGACGTTAATAAAATAACTATAACTTATATTCTAGTGGGAATTTCTTTTTAAAATTTTAGGAGGGAGTTTTTGAATGTAAATGGAAGCGATTTATAGAAAAAAATTAAAATTGATTTTTTGAAAGTTACGCATGAGACTGTCCCCTTAATGGGCTATTACTATTATAAAGAATAAACTTGCCGTAAAATTTACTTTACTTAACTCAAAACCATTTTAAAGTTAATAATAAAGTCTATTTAATAAATATATTCTCAAGAAATAGAACACACTACGCCTATGTACATACAGAATGTGGAAGGAATAAACTAAAATATCATATTTCTCTCATTCCCATTCTTTCTAAGAACGTAAATATATATAGACCAGCAAAATATTGATAAGATTACCGATCTTTCAAACTATTCAATGAACTTGTCTCACTATACACTCGCGAATCGTACCAATTTATATTGTTATGTTCTCGGACGCGACTAGTTCACGTTCGAGACGCATCGCCCCACCCCTTATTTTTCCCGTTGGCCCCTCCCTGACCTGGAAATCCCTAATCGCTACTTCAGAAAGTATAAAATTAGGCGATTTTCAGGTCAATCAGTTCAGTCCTTCACGGGCTCTCCGAGAGCTTAGTGCTCTCGGGGCTCTGCTTTTTCTTTTAGCCTACCCTATACTCTGTGCTGAGATTTTTATTCAACTTTAAACTTAGTGTTTTATTTCGACTATTTAGTCGTGTAAGAAATATCTTGCCTTTGTCAAGGCAAGCCACCATAGACTTCATCCTGATGTTTATTTCGACTTATAAGTCATGTAAGAAATAGCTCGTCTTTTTCAAGACGAGCTCATCAGAAGAAAACTTTTTTTACGAATCCATACCCCGCAAATGAATTCAAGTAGAGGGGCTTTCGTCGACGTTTCCGAAGCCCTCTACAGAGCACACGGTGGTACAGAAGGTGATTTTGCTTCCTTTTCATTTACCCCGAGGTGACAGTTACGGGGGCAAATTTTATGGAACTATCTTATTTTTTCACTTATTTACATGGGCGAAGCATGACAATAAAAATGATCTCGGTAAGAATTTTCTGCTGACATTTAACATGATTGCCGTTAGTGTTTAGTTCAATTTGTAGATTAGTCACCTTTAATTGAAAATTGTCCGACTATAACTATTAACTATGAATCCAAACATACTTTCAACATCTCGTCTAATTTTCCAATGTGTTATACATATTTTATTCTTTTGATCTTATCAGACAAAAGACGCTTGGAAAGAAGATGAGATGAGAGATTTATATATGAGTGGTTCATACACAACTTTCTAATCAGTAAGCAAGTAATGTATTCTGCATGAAACAGATAGAAGCAAACCTAATACTATGACATTTTCAGTTCCTTTTTTTAAGGTTACTAGTGGCGTTTGGAATTTTCGCTAATATATTCAGAAACACCTGTCATATAAAAATAATTTACAACTTACTTTAAAAGGGTAAAATAATGTACAACAGATGTATGAATGTCATGTAGTTCGATCTTTTAATTTCATCAGACATGGCTTGAACACATGAAAAATATCTCGTTTCACACATCAGTGGTTGATACATAATATTTTAGTCAGTACGCAAGTAATACAGTTGATGTTTTAAAAAATATTTCACGTCAAATAAGTAGGTATCAATTATAGAATTCACATATCATTTTGGTTATAAATTGCTGTTAATGTCATTCTGTATACAGGAGAGTCTAATTTTTATATTACGGTTTTGAGTATGATTATAAAACTGTAGCATTTAATAACATGTATTATAATTTCATAAGAAGTTTTCTTAACAAATTGAATACTTCTAATTTAGTTTTGATTTCTTTTAGGACAATCCACCCTACAATAAAGGAGCTTTTAAAATAGAAATAAATTTTCCTGCAGAATATCCTTTTAAACCACCTAAAATAAATTTTAAAACAAAAATTTACCATCCAAACATAGATGAAAAAGGACAAGTATGTTTACCAATTATAAGTGCTGAGCATTGGAAACCTGCTACTAAAACAGATCAAGGTAGGTTACTTAAAAATATTTTAACTGGTTCAAGTTTTATGCAGGGATAATAACGATGTGTGAAATGTGAAAGAATAGGAACAAAAAAATGCAGTTTCAGCATAAAAAATAACTGATACAAAAATGTACATGTCACATCCAAGAGTTAAGAAATTCCCAATTTTCAGGAATTATATATGACTATAGAGTTTTAAAAATCAGTTATTTCTTAGTTGTATGGAAAGAATTGGATCTACATAGAAATATTGGGCCAAGTAAATAATGTGTTTCTTATGGATGATGACAAGGCAACTTGCAACATCCCGCGGATATATTTAACGCAATATATTTAACGCAATAGCACAAAAGTTAAATTAGATAAAATCTCGACGGTTCTCGAAATAATGATAATATTCCATAATTTAGCCGTTCACTGTATATATTACAGGATTCTGTAGCATTCATGTTATTTCTTATATATTCGTTGGTCTTCCTTTCCAGCCTTGATGTTCTAGCACTTCTCAAATAATCCATTTCAAATGCCAACAATCTTCTGTTCAGATCTGCATTAATTGTCCATACTTCAGAGCCCTAACAAAGAACTGATTCAACCATGGTTTGCCTTATTCTTTTTTTTTCGTTTTGGAAATGTTGCTATCCCACTATAAAGAGTTCAGACATCCTACAATTTTACGTCCTGATTAATTCGGTGTTTAATTTCGGTTTCTCCCAAGCCGTTCTTATCAATGAGTGCACATAAATATTTAAATGTTTCCACTTGTTTGATTTTCACGTCCTCATCTATCAACACTTCAAACCTTGCATCTGAATTTATAACTAAATATTCTGTTTTCTTATAGACGCTTTATCATAAATTCTAGATCATAAGAATCTTGAGCTAGGACGACTTGACTTGGTCATCCACAAAGTTCAGGGAGAACAGTATGTCATTTCCTTGGGGATTCCCATTCCCTGGCGGTGGTTTTTCCAATTATGGAGGGCTGCCTCAATATATAAATTAAACAGTAAGCGTGACATACTGCATCCTTGTCTTAGTCCTTTAGTTACTTTTATTGGCCCTGATAGTCTATTTCCGATTTTTAGGTAAGTAGTGTTATCCCTGTATACTTCTGTGATTTTTCCTAAAAGGTATGGACTAATGCCGACTTGTTGTAAAGCTTGCCACAATTTAAGTCTTGGAACTTGTATAATACGCCTTTTCTAATACTAGTTATCAGTGCAAGATCTACCAGGCCAAATCCACTTTGGTCTTCGCTAATTAGATGTCCTACTCATCTTATCTTTTTCCATTTATTATCTTTTCAAACAATCTTCCGAAAGTAGATGGTACTTTAATTTGTTGGCAGCATTGATTCATTAGAAAAGTTATTCGTTCAATTAGGAGTGGACTTCCTACTTTAAGTAACTCTACAGCTACATTGTCAGGTCCTGGAGATCGCCCGTTTTTCATTTCAATTAACGCAGTACGGACCTCGTTACTAGTATTAATGTTACTATTTGTTTATCTCTCCATACTGTATTCCCCTCCCATATATTCCAATCTTGACTCTTGGAGTAAATTTTTATAGTGATTTTCCCACTTTTCTATAGGAATTAAATTGCTTAAGGAGTTATGGGTGTTTGTCTGAGAACCAGTAATTAAATTTTCAACTTGAACACATTTTTGATCCTAGAAATTGATTTTTGCTTTTTTTATTTGATTGCGTACTTCTCCGTTTGCGTTTCTTTGATATGTTACTCTATTGATAGATGTTTTATTTGTTAGCCATTTCTTATATATTTTGTTTTTTTTTACGTGTTCTGTCATCCATGGTGGTTCCTGGTGTTTTTTGTCGTTGTTCTCTGTTCCTAATACTCCATAAGCAATTTTTTTTTATTACCGTTTTGAGGTTGTTGCATTCCTACATCTCTATTTCTTTTCATCTCATTTAATTCCTTTTCTAATCTAGATTAAAAAAGATGTTTAATACTTGGTTGGAATAAAAGGTTTAATCTTATATCTTTCCGTTTTGTACTGCGTTTCCCTCAACTTTCAGTGTTCTGTTTGTAGTATTTTTTTAAAGAGGCACATAAGATTAGCTAAATGAAAGTAGTGACCTGTCCCACAATTAGATCCTCTTTTTACTCTGCAGTCTTGGCACTTTTGGCAATTTTGATTTCTGTCTCGTTATTCTATAGTCTATGAACGACTTCTGTTGGAGTGAAGGTCGTTCACAAGTAAATAAAACACATTAAAAGTCATCAGATGCAAATAATAGGCAACATGAGTAGATGGCATAAAATTACAAATAAAACATGTTTACGGCCAGTACTTACTTAGTTATCGTCTTCAGTGCTAAAAAATCACTAAATGAAAAGGCCAACGATAATAACAATTTACTAATTTATTGTAAATAAGCAACAATGTTGCATAAGTTTATTGTGACGTTTCGATTTCCAATTTAGAAATAGTTCTTAATATACAAAACATTAATAAATTAAACAAATTTTCTTACTTGGTATCTTAAAATATTTCTGTTATAAACAATTTCAATTTTGCAATAACTGTTAAGTGAAATAACTGTTAAGTGAAAATTTTTTATAGCTAAATACATGTGATGTCCCTATTATCAGGCGAAAAGTTTTTTGTGTATTTTTAGAAGTTTTGTCAAAAAAAAAATCAACTTTTGAAGCTATTTTTGCAATAACTAAGCAGCAAATTAACAAAAATAACTTTAAAACCCCTTATTTTAAAGGATTTTCTATGCTTTTGCAGTAAAATTGTGCCAATTTTCCATAGAATTTAGCGGTCTTCACCTTTATTATTTTAATTCAAATAGCGATCTTACGTTGTTTATGTATTGTTTATAAGCAAAAAAGTAAATTTAATCTTTTGCATATTTTGTTTATTACATAGTATTATCACCAAATTTATCAAACCCAGTTGTTAGGTACCTGTATCGACGAGTGTCTTGGGAAAATCCTTAGTTTTCTGGTCTAACTGTACAAGGTTTTGTAGAAGCCTTTACCAGACTTCACACCTTTCATATGCGATACGTTATTAAATCCTATTTAATGTGGTTCCAAAGATAGACAACGTGAAAGTGTATTAAGTCCCTCAGTAGTTAAGAGCTAAACAGTCGTTTACACTTAATACCCAGCAATATTAGTATTATTAGTAGTATTAGTGCAGTTAATATCACATGCACATTTAAGAATGATTAACTCCATGGAACGACGTAAAACCGCGGTGTGGCACTGTAATCAGTTTGTTTATGCTGAGTTAATGGAAAGCAACACACCCGAAGAAAACATTGCTAAACCTTGGCTGTACTCCGAAATAGTTCACACAGAATTTAATCTTTCATATAAACTTCCACACTTTTACACATGTGATGAATTTGACAGATCAAATGTATCAGTTATCTACAGTTACTCTAGCAAATTCCTGTTCCACCAACACTTTTACGTCTTCTATCTTAAAATAAACGTGTTGTTTTGCGCGTAAACTTCATTTTTTATTTGCGCCCAAACCATTTCAGGTCTGGATGATATGGCGGTAGTTTTAAAGAAACATGTCCACATTCTTGCAGCACTTTGTCAAATTTATATTGAGTATAATCTTGTTTGTGTCGTTGGATGATTTCATACAATTGCGGTTTTAACATTGACGTTATAAATGGTAATTTTTTTTCTGTCAACCAAGATATCATATCCATTTTTTTAGAATTACTGGTAGCTGCTTTATTAATTTGTACATTATGATGTGACGCATTATTAATAACAACAACAGATACAAAAGGCAAATTGGGGATTAACTGTAAAAATCAAAAGAGCATTCTGTATGAAGCCCACCTCCCCACCACCATGCACGATAACCAACCTACTTCCTTTTGAAATGTTTTTGAACTATCTTTGCCACTGTCATCTGTCCAGCTATTTGGCGTAGTGTGTCCTGCATGTACATGTTCAATTAATAAACGTGGATTTTCTTTCGTTTTCTTCCATTTAAATCCCAAATCTTTCACAAATATGTAGAGTGAACTCACACTTCCAGTCCACTCGTACACCTCTTCAAGGAAATTTTAGTGTATTATTTCACTCTGCGTTTGTTAACATACTCGCTTGTTGAATGATCCTTTCTACTGTACGTAAAGATACTCCAGTAGCTTCACTCACACGTTGTTTAATACTGGTTCGGTTATCTTCAGGAAATAGTATTTGCATATTTAAATACATTGTAAACTATTCATTTATATTCTGGTGTCAATGTGATATGTTTACTCGTACTGCACTTAACCATCTCCATTCTACAAAATAGTTATAATACGCGTGGTAGCAACTGTTTTTGTTTAGACTCGATAACATAATGAGACTAAATTACGAGCTCGTTTGAAACCCAGTGACTAGAAATTCTCGTAAATAATTCTTATCAGTTCTTTGTACGTTCTTAACGATTTAAGGTTACTGATGCTAAATTAGAAATTTAGCTTTTACCAAACTTTATAGAGTATCAATTATTAAAGATGGTATTATAACAAACAAAAAGTTTGGCATCTATAAAACAATATGTGTTTTATTATTTAAGTGAGTAATAATTTTGTAATTAGTGCAATTTCAAATAATTTAATTTGTTTAATATTGCAACGCCGCTGCACGGGTCCGATCATAGAATATATTCTATTGTAGGTAAAGAAATAATAAATAAGACTTAATCACAATAAATTTAATTTAATTATCAGACTACCGGTTTCGCTTTCTACAATATGCAAAGCATCTTCAGGTCTCGATACAAAGTTAAATAAATGCTGAAATGATAAAAACCCATATTAGGGTGTTGTTTAATAAAGATAAACAAAGTAGATGTTGGAAATTACAATAATTATGCCAATATTACATGTCTGTGGTTTTATTTCAAAAAGAGTAAGTTGAATAAAAAGGTATAAAAAGTTTTAAAAGTTTAAACAGACAAGGTAAGGCCCACAAATTGTTATAAAATAGTCTATTAGATTGTAATAAATTAATAAATGAGCAAATAAATAAACATTACTTACATGCCGGTACTCTATTAATTGATGGATGGTAGAACAATTCTGCTATTGTAGTTGTATGACAGTAAACGGGAAGTTCTTAAGGAGATAGATTTGATCCAATGAAGCAGAGATATGCGTGTGATTGTTAAATGAAAGTGATGTAATATACCATTGTATTATTAAAAGTTGTTTATACTTTTTCGAGAGATATATTTATGAAATGTGTGTTATTTATTGAGTAATTGTTTTTCTCTAAAACAAAAAAAATAAAAAAAAAACAAAAAAAAAAAACAATTACTCAATAAATAACACACATTTCATAAATATATCTCTCGAAAAAGTATAAACAACTTTTAATAATACAATGGTATATTACATCACTTTCATTTAACAAACAATCACACACATATCTCTGCTTCATTGGATCAAATCTATCTCCTCAAGAACTTCCCGTTTACTGTCATACAACTACAATAGCAGAATTGAGTTCTCCATTCAACAATACATAGTAGTTTCAACCATGTTCTACCATCCATCAATTAATAGAGTACCGGCATGTAAGTAATGTTTATTTATTTGCTCATTTATTCATTTATTACAATCTAATAGACTATTTTATAACAATTTGTGGGCCTTACCTTGTCTGTTTAAACTTTTAAAACTTTTTATACCTTTTTATTCAACTTACTCTTTTTGAAATAAAACCACAGACATGTAATATTGGCATAATTATTGTAATTTCCAACATCTATTTTGTTTATCTTTATTAAACAACACCCTAATATGGGTTTTTATCATTTCAGCATTTATTTAACTTTATATCGAGACCTGAAGATGCTTTGCATATTGTAGAAAGCGAAACCGGTCGTCTGATAGTTAAATTAAATTGATTGTGAGTAAGTCTTATTTATTATTTCTTTACCTATTTGTAATGGACTCACACAAGCAACACATTCATGATATTCTATTGTCTGGGCGATTAACTATTTCGTGGAAGGGCTTACTACTCGATTTGTAGTAAGCTGTACTTTATAATTAATTGCTCTTAAGTAGATAAAAACGGTGCGTAACTTCTTAATCATAGAACAGTAATTACGTTATTTATGTGTGTGGTTGGGATTCTAACTGCGAAACCTATGGTTTCATTCGCCTAGCATGTACCTTATGTGTTTCAATGTATTTAATAATCTTTTTTTTAGTTATTCAAGCTTTGGTTGCCCTCGTTAACGAACCGGAACCTGAACATCCTCTCCGAGGAGACTTAGCAGAAGAATATATTAAGGATAAGAAAAAGTTTACGAAAAACGCTGAAGAATATACGAAAAAACACAGTGAGAAAAGACCCGCAGATTAAAAAAATTGTACATACTTGAATAGTGAATATCACTGAATGAAATTGCCGTGTGGTATACAGTATAGGGATTCAAATGGTGTTTTGTTAAATTTAAACGTGTACAGGTATCGCTTTTTTAAAGGAATCTAGTCACTTTCTGACGTGAAGTTTATCGGCAATTTCACGTTACATAGGAGGTAGATAATGCATACACTGCTTTGATGAGTTTTACTATATATTTAAGAAAGTCAATACCAAAGAGATGTAAGCCACATGTCATTGTAAAAAATAGAGATTTTTGACAAAATAATCAATTAATCTAAATATTCTCTAATTCACTTTTTCATGACCAACCAGGTGTTAAAAGGACAGAAATCATCACCAGATCAAATCTAGAGACCGTAGTAAGTTAGAATTGCATTTTGCTATCAACTGAAAACCAAACTCATTTGTGTGTTAATAATGTTTATGGGAAACTTGGAAAGTTATGACTTACATAAAGTTTCTCTAATATATTTGAATTTTGAGAATGATTCAATATTCTCATGAGTATTGAAAAGTGTGTTTTACATCACTTTGTATTTGGGTATCTCACCGATTCCTTTGTTAGTAAAACATTTCTAAAGTAGCTTTTTATACAGTTGACACAGTTTAATACACTTTATTTGAAATTTTATTAAATACCCTTTATTTTATTGTTATATATTGAATTTTGTTAATATTAAGAGAGTACTGCCTTGAACAAATATTCATCACAAGTAATGAACCGAATTGGATTTCTCTTACTGTCCACGATAATTATTGTTACGGGTTTATTTATCATCTCCAAGAACAAATTCTTCATTTAAACTTTTTGGGCTTATCTGGTACAAAAAATAACAAATTGTTAAAATTTAAGCTGTATATAGTATAATAAACTAAAAGTGAACTCGTAAATATTCTTGTGTATTTACTGGCCCATTTGTTGATATATTAAATTAAATATGCTCGAATCGCTAATTTGTTTTTGAGTTAATTTTTAAACCTAAAATATGACTTTTTACTTAAACAAATTTAAATAAACAATCTCATTCAGTGATTTGATTACGCATTTTCTTTTTTACACTTAACGATTTATTACAAAATTTAGGTGTTTATTTATTTGATCTTTCATGTTCTGTATTATTTTGTTTTGCGCGGTTTAGCATACAGAAGTTTAGAGATAATTATTTCTATCATACAAAACTTTTGCATAATATTTAAATATATTAATATAATATTCGAAAAGTTGTTTTATTACACATACTTGATAAAATCAACAGTATAGCATATCCAAAGCCAATTGAAAATTGAAGTTTTACAAGGAGGTTCAAATATATTATTCAACAGTTCTGTGTAACTTACTACACGAAACGCTGTACAATCCAACAAGCGAGAGCTGGCAGGTGAGCTCGTGAGCTGCGCGAAAATAGAAAAGGAATTATTCTCAGAGAGATAGGAGAGGTACTTAATCGCGGGTGTCACAAATGCGTAGTTGCCATATCAAAAATTTTGAAAATTACGTTAGTAGATATACATTGTATACTTACCATATTATTATGTTAGGCAATTGATGCAAAAGTTTTGACCAATTTTTTAGTTAAATTTCGTTATTTTCCAATAGGTTCAGTTAATTTCAGGTATAACATTTTTGTAATCTCTAAATACTTCCCTACTAAGTTTGTGATAGAAAGCGAGGTCGACTCCACACACACACACACAGTCCGCGAAACTTCTTAGACACACCACATACCCCGTCGTGCCTTCGGAATGTCACTGTCTGGTCTTCTATTACACTTAGTCCATCTTACGTAAATTCCACAACATTAATCTTAGTCGCTACATAGTTCGTTACACGAAAGATCATTGTTCGAGCAATCAATCGGATGGTCTTCAGAATCCTCACCCAACTTGATTATTATTTGATCAAAAACGACATCGAATTGTGGTTCTTTTGTCACAAAATTATCCTCAGTCGAAATAATTTTATCACAAACTTTTTTTCATTCTTATGCAAGACATTTGTCAAAAGCTAACATTTTTTCTCCTACAAATTTTTTCAGTGCAACAGCCAATAGTTCAATTGGATTTAGATCCGGATAATAAGGAGGCAGTCTTAATACCTCGTGTCCAAAACTTCTAATCACAGAATCAATGGAGTATTTAACAAATCGAGGCTTATGTAATTTAATTGATTCGTAGAGATCTGTCCGAAGCATATCCTTCGTGTACGGTATATTTCGTTCTCTAAGCCACATTTGCAAATCTGCTTTTCGAGATGCCGAAGTTGGAAAATTATCCTCTCATTTGTTGTGGTACGGTGCATTATCCAACACAATAACGCTGTTAGATGGTAAATTTAGCAACAGTTTTTCCGGAAGTCACTTGTGATAGTTATTGTAAATCGAGTTTTTCTTCATAATACATGTTTTTTACTGGCATCTTGGCATATTTTACACAAAATTAAAATTGGTTTTATTTGATTGACCTGCAAAATAAGAAAATTAAATTCATAAGGGTTGGCATGGCACTTACATATAGCTCTATCTGTTAGTGAATATATCAACTATAAATAAAAGTCCAGATACTTTGATCTTTTATTTCCGTTAAAGACATTGACACATAGGTATATCAGTTTTTAGAATGTAACAAATTTTCTTGATTTTTGGCACTTACATCCTTTTTTACTTCAAGTCTTCAATTATTGACTTCTTCACTATTCTGTAATAGCAGCTATGTTAATATAAGTTTCTCAGATCTCACTGATAAGCTCGAGACTTCAATTTCCAATTGACTTTGGATAGAGTTTAGTTCGTTTTATCGTAATAAGACTAAATTGGGGCTAGTAATGGATCATTTACAAATGATACGAATCGAAGACCGGGGTCTCGAAATTTCGACTGGAATCTCTTAGGTTCCGGATTAAATATAAACGAAAATTTTTGTGTGGATTGAATTGTTTCTCATATTTAGAATTGAGAGGGTATAAAAAAAATTGGAGTAGGGCGTTGTGGTTTGCGCCAATGTAACAAAATATGAAGTTGGCTGATTGGCTGTTGGCAGAAATTAATGTGACAAACAGAAACAAGTATAAATGAACGAGAAAAAGAGTAATGAAATAAGGACCTTACTAAAAAATATTGGGGGCGCTAGGAAAGTATGAACGTTACTTCCTAAGGTATACTATACTGGTGTGAGAGTTAAGTAATTTCTGAAGCTTTAAAAAATGAGATACTAATAAAACATAGAGTATGTATAACTCAATTTAATCCGTAATTAGTTGTACCCACTGATGTAAGAAACTTTCAAATACGCTTAGATCTTAAACTATCAGAACATCCCAGAAGTGAAGTAGATCCCACTGAATTTAACACAAATCAGGAGTTCATAAAAACCATGCTGCAAAAGATCGCAGATGAAATGTTGGGTGATGTACAGCGAAACAACTGATTTGACGAGTAATGAAAGAGAATAATGACGCTTATCTGAAAATTATCAACATAAGGACTAGGAGCAATGTTGAAAATATCGATTAGAGGAAAAACAAAAGCACAAACAGAAAATGCGTCAACAAATCAATAGAGGTCGAAGAAATGGAAAAATTAAATAGAGAACACGAACACAGAAGATTTGAAAAACAAATTGACACAAAAAAAACCTTTCAAGACACAAGCGAACTAAGATTCATAATGGAATTCTTGTGAACGACAAACTAGAAGTACTGAAAAGGTGGCAGAAACACTTTAGTACGCTACTTAATGAAAAAAGTAGAGCTAAAGGTAGAGACGATATAGAACAGGAGGAAACTGAGCTATCAACTTTGGAAGAAATGAATAAAGCAATTCAGTCTCTAGCCAGAAACAAGTTTCCGGAACAAATAACCTACCCGCATCAATATTTAAATGTGGCGGTTAAACATTTGTAACCCTTTTTCACAAACTATTAATACAAGTAAATCAAGAACGCGCTTTATTAGAAGATTGGAATACTGGAAGTATGTGCCTTATACACAAAAATGCAGCTTGCTTGACTCTTCAAATTTTAGAGGGATTTCCCTTCTTAATACGGCTTACAAAATTTTGTCCCTGATACCAAACGATTGGCACAGTATACTGAATAATCATAGAATCATACCAAAGAAGCTTTTTGAAAAACAGATCTACCATTGATCTATCAGATGAATACAGAAAAAAAAAACGACGAAGTACGACATAGACTGTTATTAAATCTTCGTAGATTGTAAAGCACCGTACGAAACTGTTGCCAGACTCTAATTATGTGGGCTGTGATCAAATTTGTGACAAGGAGATGCGCTAGGAAATGGGTACCTAAAAGAACCGGAACGACACCTAAACCATAGACAAGGACGTCGGAAAAAATATGGTTACTATTATTCAATGCAGCCCCCAACACAATAGCACTAATCCAAGAACCTTGGATAATTAAGACCAAAATAACTGGATTTGGCAGTTTTAATGGTCAAATTTTCAGTTTGCCAAGCAAGCAACAACCGAGATCAGCCATATATGTTCCCAGGAAAATCAAAACCTCCTCCATGGCTCAGTTTTGCACCTCAAAAGTAACTGCGGTTAAAGTGAAATGCCCATGGGAAAAGAGCAAAAATAGAGAGTTGATACTAGCATCGGTCTACATACCCTCAGATGCAGTCACTCTACCACCAACAAAGAAGATGTAAGATTTGGTAGACGTAGACCATTGTCTCAGTCAGAAGGTAGAACTCGGTATAGGCTGCGATTCGAACTTTCACCATCTACGCTTGGGCAGCAGAAATAGCAACGCTCGAAATAAGTCTCTTTATAACTATATTATTAGAAGAAAAAAAAAAAGATTTGTATGTCTTAAATAGAGGCACCGAACCTAATTTATTAATAGCCAAACGGTCACAGATATCAAGCTAGCAACAGTCTATCTATCTTATCTATTAGTCTGGGGAAAAGCCTTATCAAATCTCGCGACCCTAGGAGGACGGATGTAGAACTCTATAACCGACTCTTAGAAGATGCTTTGCGGAATGAAAAGGCTTCAATTCCAGGAACTAATACAGAATTGGAAAGGTATACGGTATCTATCCAAAACAAAATAAACTATGCTTATAAAAAATCCTATCCGATAAGGATGGTCCAGGAAAGTCAAAGCCAACCCTTGGTTGTGCACTGAAGTGGAAGACATCAAGAACAGCTTTTAACAGAACAAAACGCACCAAACTCAAAGACGATTGAGATTCTTATCAATCAAACCTTACACAGTTTAAGAAAGTCTGCACACAAAGACGAAGAGCTGCTTGGAGACCCTAGTGCTGAGATCTTGATGAAAACACACTTACCCGGTTCTATATCCTCACTGAACGACTGGCACCTCGCCAGAACAATGATCAATGACAAAAAGATATGATGGGCCATATTGTGCTTCACCCCTTTTAAGTCATCAGGGTCTGACGGAATATATCCAGTTCTACTACGGTGGGGACTATATATGCTTCTGCCGTACCTTGTAGAAATATTCAGAGCCTCTTTGACTCTGACATATACTCATAGGAAGTGAAGGTGAAGGGAGGTACGTGTGGTCTTAATACTAAAGCCAAGTAGGATGGACTACACTCTACCAAAGGTTTTCCTACCAATTATCCTAACATCGTTTCTCTTGAAAACGATGAAACGCTATGCGAAAGGTACATAAGGGATGAAGTTCTGATTCATAATCCACTTCACCCAAATCAGCACGTATATACTTCGGGAAAATATAAAGATTCTGCAGTGCATCAAATAGTGGGAAGAATTGAAAGATCGCTGGATAATAAAGAATCCACCCTAGGTATATTCATAGACATTAGGGAGCGCTTGATAATACCACATTCCCAACCATCGCCCAACAGCTCAATATCAGAAATGTTCCCCTGGCCGTGAGCGAACGGATATTCACTATGATCTTTTATGTTTTATCTTTTAAAAAAAATGTTAGGGTTAAAAAAAATGTTACTGTTGTATATTTAAGAATTAAGTTTTATGTTTAGAGTAGAATTTAAGTTGTATTTTAGACATTACTGTTTGTGTTAGTCTGTATGCAGCTTAAGATCATGAACTTTAGTGTGTAGACAGCTTAAGCTGGCAGCTGAGAGAGAACAATGATGGCCGCTAGTTAGAGCCCGTAATGTAAGTATATATATACATTCGGTTTTATAACGTCTTACGACGTTGTCCGACTCCCAACCGCCACTGTATTCGGTCT